AAACTTTGAAAGTGTGCCCTGAATTGTCACGTATAAAGTTAATAAATATATTCAAGAAGTTTAATCTGTTACAAAAGGTTGTTCCGTGGATTGATTTTTGCAAAGCTTTTTAATGCATCATTAGTCTTGTGAATAAAAGCAATTAGTTTTACTTAGCAATTGCAGAGGACTTAATGTTAATCGCAACAATACTGCATTCCAGAAAGTAGCTGTTTTGGTGAGAAACCCAGATTCTTAGATGGTTTAGTGGTTTGGCTGATGTTTTGGGGCTCAGTCCAAAGAGTTTAATCTTGAGATTTTGCCATTTTAGCAGAGCAGCAGAACTGTGGACATCATTGTAGTACATGATGCCTTGCAGCAATATTTTATATTTGTATTTTATATATAAATATATAAATATTTTATATTTATATTTTAAAATGACGAGGAATGAAATTAACTTCTCTATGATGCCTGTGCAAACTCCACTCTTCTCACTGATTTATTAGCAGCACCTTGGCAAACACAGGGCCTACAGTCAGGATTGCTGAAGTGTAGCTTAGCGGACTTTAGGAGGTAAGCTTGTTGTCGTGGTTTAAACCCAGTCAGCCACACAGTCTCGCTCACGTCCCCCTTCCTCCCCCCATGAAATGCTGAGAATGTAACTCCACTTGGTCCAGTAACTAAGGTATATATGAGCCACAAAGGGTCATATGTGCTCAAGCCATACTCATGAAATGCTGAGACTCCACTTGGGGGGAGCTGCCAGATCCAAGCTCCTTGAGCACTGGAAATTTTGAGTTTTAAATTCTTGGCTGCCCCTAGAGTGGCTTTGCCTTGGAGATTTGAACATAAATAGTCCCTTCTCTTTTGTCTAGGGGGCTCATGACACAGATGTGTCACAGAAAGTTGAGATCGCAGTCAGCCAGCTTGGAGAAAATGAGGCATGTTTCTAATGGGAGAAGAGTTCTTGACAGGCAGAAACCTTGACTGTGATTCCCTTGAAATAATTTTTTAAAATGATACATTCCCACAAAAACCTTTTGTTTTGACACATTCACAATTTCTACTGGAACGAAGCAGTTAGAAAATAACCAGCTCGCCCTAAGTTCCATTTAGTGAATGTTTTATTCATGGCACCCTAAATAGTACCTCTCAAAACTGAAATGTCCCAGTCATTTCATTCTCCACGTAATCAATGTTTTCCCAAGCCTCTCTTCATTTTGGTTGCCTGTCTGTACGCTTTTTGCCACATCCTTTTTTGAAGAAGTAATCAGCACAGAACAGTGATTCAGAGGAATCTCTCTCGTTGATTTATATGATGCTGTTCACTTCCAGTATCATTTTCAACATCGCTCTGTCTGCATCCTAACATTCTGTTTGCTCCTTTGATTGATGCCATGTATTGAGCAAAGACTGTTACTGAGTTGTTCACAGAAGTATTCAAGTCCTTTTTTCCCCTCTGTGGTTGCAGGTAGTTTAGAGCCCTGTAAGGTAATGTAAGGTGCATTAGTAGGTCAGATTATTCTTCCCAGTGTCTGTCACTCTCTTTTACTTCTGAGCCCTGTAAAACAGGCAGGAAGTGGTTCTGCAATCAGGCTTACCCTGAAGGATCACAGCTTGAAATTTGGACTGGGACTCTGTGAGCACACTGCACCAGCAGCCATGTGGGAGAGGAGTGGAAGAAATGTCTTCCCCACAGAGAAGTGTCCTCCTCATGACCAAGTGTGCACCCCCCTTCCTCTCACACACTCGAGTTGCAAGTTACTAGAGGAGCACATACTAAGAGGAAGGCCCCATTTCCGTAGTTTTCTCAAAGAACTGTGCTTCAGAAGCCTAGAGTTTACCGCAGACTGCACGTTGTATGAAGAAATATTTCCTACTGGGTTCAGCAGTAGCAGTCATTTTTTGTGAGGCTCATGCTCTGCCAGGGAGGAGGGGAAGCCGGGAGGAAGCAGAGACAGGACACCTGACCCAGGAGGTAACTGGGAGTTACCCAGAAGGGCTGGGACGGCGGGGTTGGAGGAGGTATCGGTCAGTGCTTGGTCGGGCTGGGGGGGGGGGGCAAGTTATCAGTTGGCTGTGCTGACGTGTTGTGTTCTCTTCCCTTGTTATTTTCTCTTATCATTGTTGTCGTTGGTGGTAGCGGTGATTTGTGCTGTGCATTAGTTACTAAACTGTTCTTATCTCAACCTGTGGGAGTTGCATTCTTTTCCATTCTCCTCTCTGTTCCACCGGGAGCAGGGGGAGGGAAAGAAGGGGGGGAGCGAGTGAACGAGTTGCCTGACTGGGCTTAAACCACGACACTCGTATTATTACTTTAAAAATCATTTGATACATAACGGGTCAGCGTTATGGTTTAGGATGAGAACTGGCAAGACGAGTTTAGCAGCAACTAAAACCATCGGTGTTATCAGCGCTGTTCCCAGGCTGAAAGTCAAAAACACAGCACTGCACCAGCTACTAAGAAAGAGAAAAATGACTGCTACTGCTGAGCCAAGGACACTTGTTAACGAAGCGTAAGAAGTGGCGGCATCCTGCTCAGCCTCTCTGCTGTGCTGGGAGGGAGCGCACAAGCATTGCTTATTTTGCATAGGTTCTTTTGTAGCTTAGTGGAATTTAACTGCAGAAGTGTGACAGTGATTGGGTAAATGGCACCTTCCTTGTAAGGTGACACTTCCCTTACCTTTAGGTAAGACAGTGCTTTTCTGCTCCCCTGTTTCTCCTTTCTCACCTGCTCCCAGGATTTTCACTTACAAATGCAGAACAGTTGCAATACTCCCTGGGGCATCAGGGAGGACAGTTGGTTTGGTCCACGTCTTAAGAGGAGAGTTTTCTTTGCAGCGTGAGCTGTGAATTAGACAAAGGTAAACTCTAGGTAGGGTAAAAGGCTGCGGTAGTTTACAGTCGCTGTCCAAGGCATGATTTGGGGTGTGGAGGTACCCTACAGTCTTGTTTAGGCTAATGGGAAAGAAGTGAGGTCTCAGTGTAACTGCACAAAAACTGTGGGGAGTGAGAAGTGATAAAGATTTAACCTAATTTCTGGAATAAAAAACTGAGGTAGCTATGATAATCAAGATAACTAAAGGGCCAGGTGTGGGACGGGTTGAGACAAAGCATGAACCACAGAAGTTATTTAGGAAATGTTGGAGGCAAAATAGCTGGGGAAGACTCATTGTGGGGGAAGAAATTCACTGGATAACTCAAATGATACACTACCTGACCCTTTGACAACTTCTGCTTCATACAGTCCCCAAGCATGAATAGACACTTGGGCTCCCAGGTAGATATAGTGAAAATGCCTCTTGGAAAGTCCTCATGAGCAGCTGGATGGGATGCTGGTCAGACATTACATATAACAAAAGCAGCAGAGCTTTTGAACCTGTTACAGAAGCTGGACGTACCTCCTCTTTCTTAGTACTCTGAATTGCCTTTTGTATTTAGCTTTCCGTCTGTAAGGAATGGGGGCATCCTGCTCTCTGCATACTTATTGTAGGGTAGATTGCAGGTACACATCAGTGACCTCTGATTATCAACCAAACATTTATTTCGTGGCCAGTCTTCTCTGGCCTTGCCTGATCTTCTCCTCTGAGATGCTGCTATATCTTTGATAAGGTTAAACTCTTAGGTCTTGCAAGATTCTGCCTTTTGAGATCTCAAAGGCAATCATTATAATTACTACTTTCTGTCCAGCTTTCACTCTAGAAATAAATCACTCATGAGATGAATGCTGTCATATAAGCTCAACTTCAGAGTTAAGTTTAAGAGAATTAAGACTTCAATTTTCGTTGCATGATATCCACTTCAGCCAAAAGAATGTGCTGGAAATGGAACCATTAGCTTCCAAGTAGGAAGCTTGTATTTAAACTGTCACAAAATACAGAGCGTGAGAAAATAGACATGTAAACCTGACAGAATTAAGAAAGAAAAACCCTAGTTAGTGAAGAGTTAATTAACACAATACAACCTCTTTGGTGAAATATGGACAGACACAGCACAGGATTAATTCACATTATACCAGGTAGGCACAGCCCATATATTCCTGTAAACCCGAAAATAACTCTACATCAGAGTGATCTTTTTTTTTCACAAAGAAATAGAAGCTCTGTGTGGGTTCTACCAGGAACTCCACTGTCAAATGCTTTTAAATGCAGCAGACCTCTTGGTTTGCTCTTTTCTCCTTCACTGGTGTCGCTGATGTTATAGGGTGGGCCGCAGACTGTGGCTCTCCTGAAAAATAAAAGTCAGATCCATTCTATACTACTGCTATAGTTAAGACCAGGATTGATTTTTTTTTCTATCCAACTGCTTTAGTTTAGTTTAGTTTAGTCTACTAGACTATTATTGCTGCTTCTTCTTCCTCCTAATAAATAACCAGAATAAATCTATGCCAGTTATCACAGTTAATTGCATTTGCAAAAAAAAAAAAAAAATTTTTTTCCCCTTTTTTGGGGGAAGAATAAAAAAAATTTTTTTTGGGGGTTTTTAAAAAGAAAATTTTTCCAAAGGAAAAAAATTAAAAAAAAAAAAACCTTTTTTCCCCCCCAAGGGGGCCCCCAAATTTTTTCCCCCCCCCTTTTTTCCCCCCTTTTTTTCCCCTTTTTAAGGGGGGGTTTTTGGGGGGGTTTAAAAACTTTTCCCCTTTTTTTTGGGGGAAAAAATTTAAAAGGTTTTTTTTAAAAAAAAAGGAAATTTTTAAAAAAAAATTTTTTAAAAAAACCCCCCCCCCCCGGGGGGGGTTTTTTTTTTCCCCAAAAAAAAAAAACCCCCCCAAAAAAAAAAACCCTTTTGTTTTTGTTTTTTTTAAAAAAAAATTTTTTTTTTTTGGAAAAAAAGGGGTTTTTGGGGTTTTAAAAAAAAAAACCCCAAAAAAAAAAAATTAAGGGAAAAGGGGTTTTTTTTTGGGGGGAAGGGGGAAAAAAAATTTAAAAAAGGGAAAAAATTTTTTAATTAAAAAAATTTTTTAAAAAAAAAAAACCCCTTTTTGCAAATTTTAAAATTTTGGTTTTTTTTGGGGCCCCCCCCCCCTTTTTTTTTAAAAAAAAAAAAAACAAAAATTTTTTTTAAAAAAAAAATTTCCCTTTTTCCGGTTAAAAAAAACCCCCCCTTTTTTTTTTCCCCCTTTTGGGGGGGATTTTTTGGGGGAAAAATTTTTTTTGGGTTTTTTACCAAATTTTTTTTTTTTAAAAAAAGGGTTTTTTTTTAAAAAAAAATTTTTTTTTCAAAAAAATTTTTTTTTTTTTTTCCCCCCGCTCCTTTTTTTAAGGGTTTTAAAAAACCCCCTTTTTTTTTAAAAAAACCTTTTTTAATTTTTTTTTAAAATTTAAAAAATTTTGGGGGAAAAAAAAAAAAAGTTTCCTTTTTTTTTTTTTTAAAAAAAAGGAAAAAAAAGGGGAAAATTTTTTTCCTTTTAGAAAAAAGGGGTTTGGAAAAATTTTTTTCCCCAAAAAAAAATTTTAAAAAAACCAAAAACCCCTTGGAAAAAAAATTTTTTTTAAAAAATTTTTTTTTTTAAAAATTAAAAAAAAACAAAATTTTTTTAAAAACAACAAAATTTTTTTTTAAAAAAAAAAAAAATTTTTTTTTTAAAAAAAAAAAAAAAAATAAAAACCCCCTTTTCCCCCCCTTTTTTAAAAAACCCCCCCCCAAAGGAAAAAATTTTTTGGGGGTGGAAAAAAAAAATTTTAAAAAAAAATTTTAAAATTTTCCCTTTTTTCCCCCAAAATTTTCCCCAAAAGGGTTAAAATTTTTTTTTTGGGAAAAAGGGGGGGTTTTTTTTTGGTTTTTTTAATTTTTAAATTTTCCCCAAAATTTTTTTTTAAAATTTTTTTCCCTTTTTTTCCCCAGTTTTGGAAAAAAAACATTTAAAATTTTTTAAAACCCAAAATTTTTTT